TCCGACTATAGTTACAGGATCAGATATCCCAACCTTAAGAAGACAGTTACTATAACACAAATAGAAATTCAAATTTTTGTCACCGGTGAGGTTCGAACTCTTGACTTGCCGCTTGGGGGGTGACAACTTGACTACTTCACTAAGTCGCCACACTCTAAGAGAAAAACTTCTAGTATTGGTATTATTCAAGTTATAAAAAAAAACCCAAAGAAAATTATTCAAGAAATGTTGTTGTAGTAGCAGCTCCTTATACTACTATGAATTGTGATTTAATATTATCTACATATATTCCTTGAGTTATTCGGGCATGACTAGGTAGATTTTTTAAAAACAAAGATATAATATTCGTTGATCATTATGCAAGCCATATTCGTGAAAATATTGTAAAGGCATTAAAGATGAAGGGTCTAGAAGTTGTAGAAATACCCAGCAAAACAACCAGTATATTACAACCACCTGATATTTCTGTTAATAAGCCATTTAAGAGTGGTTTTAGAAAAAAATAGAATAAATGGATAGCTAAAGAAAAAAAAAATATATAGCAAAAGGGAATCGCAAGAAGGCATCTTATGAACTAGTCTGTAAATAGATTTTAAAAACATAGAAAGAAATTAATACTGAATTATTGGTCAAGTCATTTGAGTTAGCTAGAATTATATTGAATCCCAATAGAAGTGAGAATTATAAAATATCAAGCCACTTACAAGCTATCGTTAAAAATCGTATAGATGATATAGATTTAGATATAGAAGATATCCGCAATGATTTGGTAGTTGCTAGAGATAATGAAGAAGCATTTGATGATAAGGAAGATGAAGAAGTATTTAATAATAATAAGGAGATAATAATCGATGATGAGATATTTGAAAAAATAACCGATAATGAGATGTTTGATGAAGAAATAATCAATAGTAACATGTTTAATAAAGAAATGGTTGATGATGGGTATCTAAAAATTTTTATGAAATAGATATCGACAAAGGGTAAACTAATTAAAATATCACAAACTAAGTATAAACTTTAAATTACATGGCTAATATTAATACTATGTAAATTTTTTGTTAGAAATTTATATTTTCTTTTAAGCTTGCACTATTTCTTAAATTTTTATATCAAAAATTCATGATAAGATATTTTCATAGATAAAAATTAATAAAAAACAGATTAGAATTGCCAGGATTTAACATGAAATAATATTAGCTTGCACTATTATTCTAGATAATAATGGTGCTTCAGAAAATTTTATTGAGAAAACACTACTAGCATATACTAAGACTGTTTAGGTATAAATTAGTTTATTATATTTCTTGTCTTTGAATAATATTAATAAATAATTTATAATTAATACTATAAATAGGTTATCATTGAAATACGAATGAGAAATCACAAAAGTTTACCAATTTTTGGTATAGTGAATACACTATTACATAAATGCTTAAGATTTTTGTGATAATACGAATGATGTACAGATACAAAGAGGCATTGTCAGATTTAAATAAGTCATTAGCAATTGAACCAAATATTGCATTTGCATTAAGCAAACGTGGAGAACTTTAATGAACAATGTTTTGTGTTGGTAAAGTAAGTTAATTTTAGTATCAAGTATTTTATTTTTGATTTAATACTGGTATAGGCAATTTTAATTTAAAATACCTTTTTATCGCTATTGAATTTTAATAAATATAGGAAAAGAATTTTATAATTAAATAAATTTATTGAAACTGAATCAAATAATATTCAAAAGTTGTGAAAATAAATTAACAATTAAGTAAATTATTAGGATTGAATAAAATAATGTATTTTGTATTAACAAATCGTGGAGCAACTTATCATTTAATAAGCAAATATAAATTTAACTATTAATCGGATTGTTATTATAAATAATAGCATATTAGTAATAAAAAAACTATGTTAAATATAAAGGTTTTTTGCTTTTGTTATAGTTGAGGGCTAAATTTAATATTTATAGTTTGAAGTTTTTCTTAAATTCTATAACTATATAAGATTCAGGTTTTAATTTATTACAGTAGTATTTATTGTGTTTTTTGTTATTTATATTATAAAAGAAAATGATTAAATTATGTAAAAAAAATATGTGTGTGCTATTTCAGGATGCATTATTTTGGGATGCACATGGGTGATATTTTGAATAAAATAGCTAAATTTTTAAAAAAGTCAAAATTTGAATTAACGCCCCAGCCCGCTATTACACGCAAATACGGTACCTGCAACTTATTAGAGAATTATCTATATCAACCTTTATAACAATTAACAACTATTCTTCCAGTTCTATAAACCAGTTTTCCTGATGCATATTCATATAATAACTTAAAACTTTAAAGCAGATCTTCATTTTCTTAATAATCTATTTTTGATTCTTTATCTTCAAGATAAATCTGACAGAACCTGCAGTATTTCTACTTTATACTACATCTAGTCTGTACTTCTTAAGGTTGGGATATCTGATCCTGTAACTATAGTCGGACCAAATAGTGGCTGGAATAATCACTACCCAAAATTGGGTTTGTGCCTGACCCGGGATAGCTTATTTTGGAAAGTTTACTAGGAACCGAGTCAAGATTTGGAAGATCGCATGGCATTTGTATAACAGACGAGTTGTACAAAGGAATGCAAGCTGGTATAAGCAGTACAAACCCACGATAAGTCTTTGTGTCTGTGTAAATCTATAGAACTAATAAAGACGGAAACCTGCTTGACAAGACCTGAATAAGGAGGTAGCAGAAGTCTAGTATGGCTTATAGACCAGGGTTCTGGTTGCGGTGGCTATGTGAACCTTATAAGGGCATTAAAACTAGGTTAGCCATTAATAGTAGGGAAAATGGAAGGCTCTAGTAGGTTTACCCCGAGAATAAAATTGTTCTAAGGTAGTTACTTAAAATGGTATTGTAGTGAGGTTATGTATATAGAAATATATGTATAACGGATGTAGATTATCTAGTTGTAAAAATAGTCCATACAATAATAAAAAATACTTGACCGAAGGGGTTATTTTAATACTCAAAAAAAAAAAAAAGAAGTTTTTCTCCTGAAGCTGTGTAGCCTAAGACTACTGTAAAGCACAACTTGTCATTTTTAGTTGTTTTAATTAGCACCTTACATGAGCCTTGAAAATCGATAGTTAATCTACTTGGCATGTCAAACTATACTGGTATTTTATCAAAAGAGATTATATATTGTTTGTCAATATCCTTTGTTATATTACGTGCAATTTGAAAAAAGGTTTGAACCACTTGTAGCATATCCTCAGAAAACTTTTTGGCTATCTGTGTTCAAGTACGTTGTACTAAATTATGACATTGCATAAAACAACTGATCCAGCTATGTGAAACTTTAAAATTTTGTATGCCTAATGCTCTGCTTAGCTCTTTTACTTTTTTTTTTATCATGAATGCTGTAACATTATATTTTCTTCATATTTCTTTTTCACAAATGATAGTAAATCTAATTCTAATGCAGGATATATTGGTTTTCGTCCACGACCACTAAGTATCCATACTTGCCTTGTATTCGAATTTATATTATATTTGACGGCTTGAAGTTCTGATTCTTTTTTCTCTATTCTTGAACATGTTTTCTATTCACATTATAAAACTTTGCTGCACTGCAGTTAGATATACTTTCTGCATATGATATTACTTCTAACTTGAATATCACAATGTAATTTCTGTTTTTTTTAACGATAAGTATATCACCTATATTCGAAGAGAATAATGTGTAAAAATAAAAAACACAGATTACAAAATTAATCTTTATATAATGTGTGATCACGAGATATGTATAAATTATATTACTTATCAGTGATAATTATTAAAAATAATAATCTCAATTCTATAATAAATTAATTCTTTATACTTACTTAAAACTTCTTGATTATAGCTTTTTTATTTGTCAATCTTAAAAACTATAAACTTGTAATTTTTCATTTTTATATATATATAATTGAAAGATTCTATATAAAATATGACGAAAAGTTTAGAGAGTATTGATTTACATATTTTTACAAGAACAGTGGTAAAATTTCTTTTAAGCAGCCTTTTAATAATTTTCAATTTTTGCTTTTGAAGTTATTTGATAATTTTTTTTTAGCCCTACAGCCTACCCTTATGATTATTTGTGCAATTATTTGTGATTCTTTATAATCCTAGCAACAATTTTTTCTTTCTTAATGCTATATAAAATAATGCACAGTCTATGATTTTCATAACCCAATATTAATGGTGGTATTGAAGATTTGACAGAATAAAATTTATGGTAGCATTATCCCTTAAACTGTTTTCCAGGTAAATTTGCCTGGAAAATTTAATTGTATTTAGTATTTTTTAAATAAAACAATAATTTATTAATAATATAGGGTATACTTTCTTCATAAAATATATTTATGAGAATATATTTTACAAACTTTATTATAAAAGTTTTTTAAAATTATTAATAATTTTTTGAGCAATA